ATTCGCGATATAAAATTGTATATGAATTCTGTCAATAGAATTTATATTTAATCTAATATTCCCAATATTTAATCTACAATACAATAAATTATTTTTCTCCTTTTTAGTGCATTAATATTATATGCATTTTAAATAACAGCGTATCGTAAACTTTTTTAACTGTATTTTATTTCCTGTAAACTTTTTAATCTTTAACCCTTTCCGGCACGCTAACTTTTAAAGTTGGAGTTTTGATATTAAAAAAAAAAAAAAAAAAAAAAAAAAAAAAAAAAAGGGTGCGCAGTCTAATTGGGCCTAGAGGAGTAAAATTTTGTGAAGATAGCACTTACCGTTTTAATTCTGTGGGTGTGCCCAAAGTGGGCACACTGATTGAATAGAGCTTCGAAAAGAGTGCTGAAACGATCATTGTTGTCAATGAACTGACCGATGAGATGCGGAGAAACAAAGAATACGGACTTTCAGTTGTCCTAGATTATCGGTAAGCCCGGTCTGGGCACACCTAGGGTTCGCCGTTTGATTTTAAGCAACATTTAAAGGTAAAAATTTAAAACTAATATAGAATAAGGAGATTAGCATACAGCCAAAAAATATAACACAGAAATTTCTTTTCAAACAATTCCTTTTATACCCTAAAAAAATCTGGAAGATTTCTTTAAAAAATGAGGGTCTTAAAAAACTAAACATGGCTAAAATATATGAACTGGATTGTGTTGAGCTGCCATATACTATAAATAAAGAAGATTCAGAGTAACCTATAAATCCTTTTTCATTCAATTTTTCTGTGCGTACAGAAGGAAATTGTTAGGTGTGTCCAGACCGGACACACTGTGCCGCAAAGGGTTAAGCAAACAGGCATGCACAGCTTTCTTAATTCACATGAATTTTTTGAAGAAGTGACACTTTTGACACTTATTGGAAAATTAGCCGGTAGAATAACTGTATAACTACGAAACCTTACTCATAAGCTTCCAAATGTAGTCTAAGGCAGACGCAAAGTGAAACAAATGCAAACTGAAACGGCGTCAATCAAGCCATATTATAAGATTCATTCATGAAACCGCAGACGAATGGTTCTTCAAACGGTATATATGTCATTATTACCATTTTTAAATTTTTGCAGCCTCGTTGTACTTCGTATACTTCAATCAATAATTCCATTGATGACCGAAATTAATTATCTTCTCATATGAATTTGAGCTGCAGATCTTTACTAAAACCTAAAATAAAATCTTTTCCGCATAAGCGGGATTTGTAATCTGAAAATAAACGGTTTGAGTTCCCCATTTTACAGTGAACAGAAATGACGTCATAAGAACACTGAACAGCTGCTAAAAGGATCTCAGGTGTTTTATTTTATTGCTGGTCTAAAAAACACGAAACATATTGGCACAGTTACGGGAATAAATTCTTATTGAATCAAAAAGGACAAATTAATGCAGAGCTTTACATTATCGTATAGTGCATTTGAATATTTTTTAACTTTCTTTGTAGTCAGAGGTAAGGCTTTTTCTGAAAGCACTTTTTTAATGATAAGATAATGATAATTCTAAACTAATTTTCTAACTTAATTTTATTATAAGTTTTTTAATAATTTCAATTCTGTCACAAATGGAGTATTTTGCATTCTGAACCTAAACGGAGTAACATTGAAAGGAATATATAGAAATGTACGTTTCGAAGAGCTCTAGTTTCTTATAGCGATGAACACCACTTGAAGCGAACGGGAAATGACGACATACGACTACAGAACGTTATTTAGCAATCGCTCGATAGCGCGGGGAAGCTGGAGCGTTGCAATATAGGAACGCCATTTGAGCTGCCTTCCATATCCTGGGACCTGTGCCATGATCTGCTAATGGCATAAAATACATCCTTGTTGTAATTGATGACAAAATGTTCCAGGTTTGAAGTGCTTCTTCTCTTACATTCCGATGATGGAATGAATTTTATCTGGACTGCAATTAAAGAACTCAAAATGTAGAGTACTCGGCATAGACAAAACACGAACGACGCCTTATCCGCAGTCAAAAGGCATGGTAGAGAGGTTTAATCGATCCATCCTTAACTACCTCTCACTGACGGTTTCCAGAAAAAACAAGACCGGGACCAGAAGTTACTATAGTTGTTTAACTGGCCTATCGCAGTGCTGTCCAAGAGACAACCAGCTATTCTCCATCCCAGACGGTCAAGACCTTCGTTTGCCCTATGATCTCTTGTTTGGTCGGCCCCGTTTTGGATGCGCCTTCGCCTCAAGGTCTCTAGGCAGAGTTTGAAGTGAAGTGAAGCACAACTTTGCACGAGAGTGAGTTAGTTTGGTGACGGAAAAGATAAAGACCTGATAGGACACGAGAGCTACAAGCGACAACGTGTGGCTATGGATTCCGATTCGACGAAAAGGACTTTCTCCTACACTATAGTCATCTTGGAACGGTCCACACAATCCTATACGCGCTGAACGACGTCGCGTAGTTCGGATCCGCAAGTTATGAAATTCTAAGCCTAATGTCGTTCATTATGACAGGCTAGCCCTTTACTATGGCTATAGCACGTATTCCCTAAACCGTATGGTAATGTAAATCATGTACTAAGACCATGGTCCTATGTGTAAATTAATTTATAAATTTATGCATTTATTTATTGATTTAATACTTGATTTCTTTTATGATTTTAATGAAGCTATTGTTTTAGTATCACACTGATTTTTCTTAGTTATAAGCATGGCATCATACCCAGGCACTGTACTGCCTAGGCACGAAATTCACGATGGTTTTCGCGACTAATTTTTGTCGTCAGATTTGCCAAACTTGGCGACCATTTGGGGACATTTTTGTCCGGTTCCTATACAACTATAATTGGTGCTAATATTGAGTAACTGTAATTTATCCCTGTATGTAATTGTAACAGTATCAGGCTCTTTCATGTAACTTTAATCCTACATGCCTTCCAGTAATTTCGAGAAATGGGAAGTAGTACCGAAAATTCGTCGACGGCCTTGGGAAAACTGGGGAGAGCATCAGTTCTCGGTTTTTAGTCCAGAGTCGACTTCGGAGTAATGTGAGATCTGCGTGCGAACTCCGCTCTTTAGCTACACTTTGCATTGCGTTGTGTTTAACGCCCTTAGTACTTTGAAGGGGTAACTTGAAGGGGTACTGATTGTGTTCTATCATACTGAGAGGAGCTGTATGAGTATTTTGTCGAAAGTACCAGAAATGTGAAGTGTTTCTTTTGGGAAAACAAATTTTATCAAGCTATTATCAGTTCTGCTCTCATTGAATCCATTACGAACCCGTACACAACAATATTTTTATGAAATGACACCACCTAGACACAATCTTCCTATTTTTTCCTTTTTTATAATTTATATTTTAAGTGGTTAGCCGCATAAGCGGCTTTCTTTCAACATAAAATCATGAGGAAAAGGCAATGTCTTTCTCCGGAAAACATTCTCACGAGACCTTCACCAAACATTACAGAGATAGTGTATTATCATTTGACTTCATGTAACGTAGCTCTCTTAACTTCCTATTAGCATAAAAAAGATAACACTTCCTTCACAGATAAGAATAAAAAATATAAGGTTGGAAACAGGAAACCGATTCATTGAACGGAAATATGCGAAAAAGCGCGAAGCATTTTACTCGTGTTTCTGGTAAAAGTGACATCGTTTTAAAAAAGGTATAATTACAAGACTAAAAGTTTTCTTTTTTGTATAGATTAAATTGTTCTGATAATATGTTTCTTTTGCTTCCATATTCAATTCCGCCTGCTTGAGAACTTTGCAGAGCAAAATGTACAGACCTGCAGAATATGGAGAAAGTTTGCGGAATTTTAAAAGCAATAATGTTTTGCGCTGGATAATACTTAGAAGAGACTTTCTGAAACTTTGGTAATCTTCATGTTACATTACTCTACCATATCGCCCATGCAGTGCGTGAAAATATACTTTTTTTTAACCTTCGAAGTGCCTCCCCCTATACACACATATCGGTTCCCCGATATTCCATTCTTCAAAGCATGAGCTCTTTAATTTACCTTTCAAATTTAATACATCGTAAAGTAGTTAACACCCTGACTGATCTGAAAGTAATCACGGCACTTCTTAGCAATTCAAATCTTTATTTTATTTTTAACCAACCGCTTGCTCGGCGAGCAGTCTAAAATTGTTTTTATGAGAAAAAATATATAATGACTGTGTCATTTCACAGGTCTAGCTAGTAATTGATAACAACAGAGATGAAGAACAGCGTTTATTGGTTTTAAATCATTTAGTTTGTTATCAATAAGACATACTAAAGTTGAAAGAAAAATTAAATAGCTTAGGCTTTGCCGAATGGTAATTCAGTGACGCATGGAAGGTAAAAATATTTTATTTGGAGCATTGGCAAGACACTTTTTTTTAAACTGCGGAGTTTATTAATTAAATGTGAAAGATCTTACATTTTATGGAGTTGCAGAGCATTTTTAGCAAGCAGTTGAGTTTTGTGGCTAAATTTAAAGCATAATTATTTTACATTTTGACGAATGCCAACACAGTTAATTAAATCGCTCAGTTTGTTAACAAAAAATATCTTTATATTTGCATAAGCATTGAAATAAAATAAATTTCGAAATTTCAGAACTCTAGTTTCGTAGTGTATGTGTTAGGATGAAGGACAATGTGAATTCAAAATTTGGTGGCTCTGGGGGACGCCGTCTTTCCACAATGCGAGGATCATATATACAGATTTTTCGTTTTTAAAAATATAGATAATGGATCTAATTCATGTAAATTAAAATGCATTTGATTTTCAATTCCGTATTACCTTCGAAAATAGGTATTGAAAAGAAGAAAAGTTTTTTTTTATTTATATAGGTAATATTAATATAATAAGTTACCTACTAATTTTTTAGGCGAAGATTTTTTTAGCTATATTATCACTTCTAAGATGTTAAAATATTCGCTTTTTAGTTTTAACTGCACCTTAATGTTATGACTTGAAAATGTGAATACAAATTACAGCTTAAATTCGGAGTAATTTATTAATATCTAACAGATAATTTTATGGTATTTTATTATATGATCATAGAGGCGTTTCTAACAGCCTGTATTTCAGATTGTGTACAGAATCGTCAAGACTTCACACTCAGAAATTAACTACCAAATACACATACATACTGCAAATAAGTAATTCCAAATTAAAATTTCATTTTACTAGATATGTAATAAGTCCTGTTTAATTAGGATCCCATTAATTTCGACTCTACTGTTGTTGGAGCAGATAATACAAGCTATTCGATCCCGCAATACATACAATACAATCCGGCAGTATAAGATATACCCGGCAGACAGGCAGTTCCACCCGGGCTAGAATCAAGGCGAAGAGGATGCCTGCATGCTTGTTTTCTGGATTTTTCTCTCTGTATAATGTGAATGTAAGCCTGTTTTCTTTAGAAAGCTATTCACGAAGGCAACCCTCCCTTGCACATATACCCTTTGTGTGCCTTGCCATGGTCAATTAAATATAAACTTTTAATTTTAATTTGGTTTAATTCAAACAAACCCATACTCACTATGCACCGATTATGGCTATGAAACTAAATTTTAATTAGTAACATCGATCACGAATCAATAGCATAACTGGAAAGCAAAGTCCTAGCTTTTCGTAATTGGCACGTGCTGTGGCAGTGATTAAAATCAACACCTTTTATGGTTATTTCATAAACTTTAATATTTACGGTAAGTAAATCAGCTTTTGAATACACATGAAAACGTAAAACATTTTTATCAGAAATTCTAGCTAACTGGGAAACTTGAAAAATACGAAAGTTAAACGAACTAGAAAATAATATCGGATATTCGAAAAAGAATCGCTTACGAAACTCTTACGTTCAAATAGTACATAAAGTCTCTATTATTAATAGGTATGGAATATTCCAGATCTCGAATCCATGGATCTATTAAACACATTCGATGTCTCCAAATTTAGCCCATTTTCTGTCATTCGAATTTTAAACTAAAATCGCTTAAGTATTTTAATTGAAAACTTTGATAAGACCTGGCGATACCCAACAGAAGCGTTCACTAAGCGTTTGCTGAAATTTCAGTGGATGTGAGTTACCAAAATTAACTCGTAGCGGCACTAACACCCACATTTCTGAGTTTCTGGCTCTTTCGGCAAGAGTTTAGTATTCCATGTTTAGTGATTATTTGTCTTATTTCTTGAACTGGCCCATCATAACCTTTCAGATTATGCGCCAATAAATCCACAACCACCATCACTTATTTCTTGAAACAATCTTCTTCCCTCTACACTTGTTTAGATTTTAAAAACTTTCTGAAAAAAAAAAAAAAAAAAAAGGTTAAAAAAATGAACTTGTACTGAAACATATTTTTAAAATTTTGCTGAAAAAATGAATCTGAATGAAAATATGAAATTGAGAGTTTTAATTATGCACTTCATCGTGTACTTTTCAACTAAGGGATAGTTCTCAGATGAGGGTGGCGAGATGAAATTGCTTCCCAATAAAATCCCAGATATGCTCTAAGAGTTTCGAGAAAATAAGCTTAAATGAAGTGCAGCAAAAAATTTGTCTAATTCAATAGGCCGTAGAAGGAAACTATTCTAACCAATGTCCATATCGGATCCTTTGATCTGTTTCAAAGAACTGAAACTTTCTATAAGCTACAAATTACATTATTCATGAAAAATAAACACTCACTTTGTAAAAGAAGATGAACAAACTAGACTACGAAATTTTCAACGTGTTTTGAAATTTCTTTGTCTTAGATTTTGTGCCACCAATGGCTGAGCGTTAATGAGCGCTAAATAGGGTAGTTTGATCCGGGTTCGATCCGAAGCGAACGGGATGGCTACATAACTGTTTTTCGTCACTTTCTTCATCCATAACAGGAATACAAGCCAACTTCCCTTAAAAAGTTTTCCACGAAGGAATCTCTTCCTTAGACAGATAGCCTTCGTGTGGTTTGCCTTAATCAAATAACCTCACCTAACCCATGCCATGTATTTTAGGTTATTTCGTATAATTCGTTAACTGGGAGAAGCAGTGAATTCATCAGAAGAGAACGGAAAGAAAATCTGAAAGGATTCAGATCTTAACGTCGAACCAGATCTAGCTGGGCTCGCAATTTATATGTCTACTCTTGAACTTACTGCTGCTGATTCAGTTTTCTCGTCTTTTTACCTTTATTACTAAACATCACTTTCTTTGCACTTACGCCACATAAAATTCAACAACAAAATCATAAAATTTTGAACATAACATATCTTTAGAATTCCCGATGCAGTGTTAAATGCATTATATTTTTTTTTAGCTATTATTCTAAAACATCACGTCTGCGTCGAATCACTTTTGTTGCTCATTTCACTTAACAAAGTAACTAATTCAAATAACTAAAAATATATAATGCTTTCATTAAATCCAGCTAGTGCTAGTGTCATTTCATGGACCAACTGGTAATAAATTAAATAGACAAAGAACTGTTAATTACTCTATTAATGATCTCTAATTAAAATGCGTATTCTAGTCTAAAAACACTTTGCGGGAAATAACGAAGTTCAGAAAAAAATTTTAATGTACCCCCAATATATACCAGCGGCCGAGCGATAAAATCATTGAACGTTGATAGTTCCGGCCTGAGTTCCATTCCAGGCGAATGGGCGTGCTGCATGCGCGTTTTCGTTTTTTCCCCCATTTGTAAAGTGTATACAAATCAATTTTCCTTAGAAAATCCTCCACGAAGGCACCCCTCAGGCAAATAACCCTAGTGGGCTTTGCTTTAGTCAACAAAACAAAGCAAACCAAACCAAACCAAACCTTTGCATCTGGGAATTGCCATATTTTCGAAAGAAATTCTGAGACAGCTTGGGAATTCATTTTATTCGCTCGGAATTATTTTCCCCCATTTCACAGTTTATGGTTTCTGAAATTATAAACTTTCCTCCCCCCCCTACACACACACACAACTGTGCTAAATCTTTTTGATGTAAGAATAACCCAATTATTTAAAACGAAATACCCCCAAAAAGTACTAAAAAAGAATCGCAGATTACAACATTTTACATTTAGTGTTTTTAGAGTATGGAATTTTGAATTCATTGACATGACAGCTTTTGAAACAAATATTTTGCTTTTGACAGTTTTCACCCAAAATTCATTGGCAAGTATGTAGAACAGTATTATAAATTCTGAAAATTATTCTTACAGAACTGATTAATAACTGATTAATGATTAATTAACTTTTCTTCAAAAAAATAAATAAAGATTTGGGATAATGGCACGATGATCACTTTGATTAATTAACTTTCAGTTAGTCTTTTATAATTACAATACACTCAAATATTTTGACCTACAACTTTTATTAGAAAGCGTTAGATGCAATCGGATTCACTGAGTCATTTGCAATCAAGAAAGAATTTAAATTACCTGATCAACCTAATATCGGAGCTAATAACTTCGTAACTAAATAGGTGTGAATATATTACAAGGAATTATTTTAATTAAACATCTTACAGATTAGAAAAAGCACAGTAGTTATTAAAGACATATAATAAATTTATTTAAAAAGTCAGTTCCTCGTTGATTAGCTTTGGGAGATGTTATTTTTTATTGCTTCATTAAAAACAGACACTCTTTTTCTGAAAGAGGAAAAAACTCTTTATCTAAGAATCCACTATTAATGTTATGCAATTAGAATAAAATTCAAGGTGCGGTCGCAGTTAATTAAGAACTAAATGTGGGGGAAAAAAGATTTATAGGATATCAAATTTATCAAACACGAATGTATAAATATTTATATATATTCCTCTATAAATGATAACATTTATGTGCCGTAATTTTTGAACATGCATAGTCCTCCACAAGAACATGTGCACCTCGAAGGCCGAATTTTGAATTTCGGAATTTTTGTAATTTATTTATTTTTTATTCATGTTATTTATTTTTATTTATTTTTTTATTCATGCTTTGTACGATTTTAATGTATTTTTCATTTACATACTTGGAAATTTAAAAACGGCAACGAAATAAAATATTTTTATTACTAGCATGCCACACTGCTGCATTCAGTAAAATATAAAATGTTTATCTTTCACTTCAGCACAAATTCGTTATTTAAAAGCAATGTGTTGCCACTGCCTAAAATAAAATACTTATATGTTCCACGCGCTAACCTGTTGCCATTCGTCAAAGCGCAAGATATTTAGCATTCAATCTCTCTGTTACCGGTTAAAAAAAACCAAGCGATTTAAAAGCAATAAACAAAGCTATTAACAACATTTTTTTAAAAATTTTCATGAGATGAGTAATTAAAGATATTAAATATTTTTTATGAAATTACACTATTTGGATTAATTAAAATCGCTATAGTTTTTTTTAATAACTATTTTACGCCGCTGTTCGTGCATGGAGTTAGTATTAAAAATAATGAAATTCCCCTGTATAAAAAATCCAAATGATTTTGTTCATGGTACGCGAAATCTGGTATTATAAATATATTTTCTTAACTGCAATAGTGCCGTAGTAGTAGATGCTCACAACATGTATCAGTTAGGTACACCGTATTACGCCGAATTTAAGCCGTAGTAGACTTGTAAAATTGAAATATTGGGGAAAATAATAAGAAAATAGTATTGAATTGAAGCCTCACTCTCATTTAGCGTCTTTAAAATTTGAATAAAAATGCTAGTTTAATTCGAGGCTGTAAGATATTTAAATTAATTTAATTTTAAACTTTCAGACACCTCATTAAAAATAAAATAAAGATTCAAATTATGAATTTATTGCTTTCAAAACTCTTACTTTATTAGGCGACACAATTAAGATTTTAAACATAAATTAAATATATTTCATCGAGTCAAATGGCTACACTGTGGAAACTAGGCCCACCAGCGGTAAAGTAGCTGAATACTGGTAGTTCAGCCCGGGGCACAATCCTGGTGAACGGGCTGCCTTTATAGGCTTTTTCGAGGTTTTCCCCATGTAAAACTTGTATACGAGCCAGTTTCCCTTAGAAATTCCTCTACGACGGCATCCCTCCCCTTAGGCAGCTAGTCCTCCGAGTGCTTTTAATTAAATAAATCAAACCAAACACTCTGAAAATCTGGTTATTTATCTGACTCCTGAGCGGATAAATTTAAGATCTTAATGTTTCGCGCAGGGGTGAAACTTGGCAAAGTCGCGTGGATGATGGAAACACAGTGACCAAAAATAAAATGGATAAACTCCGTAAAAGACATTTCTAATGTCAAAATTTCGGGTTATATCACAAAAAATTCTTGCCCGAGAGAAAAAGTTTCATTATACATTTTAATTAAATAACAATGCTTGCCGTCAGGTTCCCGTATATTCATTCGTTGAAAGGTACAAAGTTTTATAATTTTATATTTTTAAAAATTAAACTAAACGTATGAGTTTGATGCTTCTAAATTTCTTATTTTATTAAGTTTGGCATAGATTTAATTTAAAAGATAAATTAAAGATCACATGCCTAATGACAGTACTTCCAAGACATGGCCATTTTCCATTCTCTATTTTATTATTTTTTAAATTCTCAAATTATTTAGAAAAAAGTATATTTAGTGTATTATTTAGAAAAAAGTTAATGGGATTTTTGAAAGTTGTTTAGTTTCTCAATAATTTAAAGAAACATTTTTAGTATAGTATTTATAAACACTATAGCACTTGCAAAATATAAATAATATATAACTTGATAAATAGTGTTTGCATCATTAAGGTACATAGTAAAAAAAATTTTTAAACTATTATTATATACCTAAGCTGCGAAATAACCTTTTTTTTACGTAAGCGCATATCAATTTCTAGAACTAAACTGCAGAACGAAACATCTGAAACACAAATTAACCACTCTAAAAGAGTTGATGAATATCTATTTTTATTGAATCTCAAACATTAATAAAAATATTATAAAATTCATATATATATATATATCTTTTTCTTTCTCTCTCTTCTTTTTTTAGCCCAAACGGACGTTGGACCCAAAGGGCTACTGGTCTCAAAACGGCATTTTGCGTCGTAAACTCAACGATTTCAAACCGAGCAATGGCAACACGGTGCGAAAAAAAAAACATTTTTATCTCCAACGCGCGAGACTGTGTATCGGAAATTCTAAAGATATGCTGTTTTTAAATACTTTGTGATATTGCTGCTGAATTGAATTGTATGTGGTTTAAGTGCGAAGAACATGATATTTAAAAAATAAAGATAACACACTAAACGTTAAAAAAACACCCTTGGGCGTAATATAAAATATGACATATAATATTTCAGATTTTTTTTTAATATGAGCAGAAGTATCTGGTATCCCTTTTTAGTACAAAATCTAAATTTAAGAACCGTAAAAAAGTACAGGTAATAAAATATTATTTTAGAACATACCGAGAAACAATCAAAAATAAAATCATATTCCAATCTAATACATATATAAATAAAATAAAGATTTCAGGTAGCATATTTACATGCAGATTCAGATATTTGAAATTAAAAATAATAATAATAATTAGAAAATACAGCTTTTATATTAGAAATATGATTCGCAATCACGTATATCTATTTTTTTTTTCATATAAAAAATAAATATTCAAATTTTGCGCATTACTATTTAAATCAAAATTTCTTGCTTATGTAATTTCAACAGTAAAATTATGGAAATGCATTAAAACTGTTGACGGTCTTCAACTGTTACTTTCATCACGAAATACTATATAATTTATAAAAATTAAAATTGAAATTATTTTGATTAGGAACACTATGAATATATAAATTATGTTACAACATAAAATTTAAAAAATAAACTGCAAGAAAATAATTATTAAAAATTTTAATGCCATTTTTAATGACTAATTAGTATGTGATTTTGCAGGACTTTTCAACCTTTTATAATAAATTCCTTTAAACTTTCGTCAAGTAAAGCATTCAGCAATTATGTAGAGCGGACGAAAATGTAAAAACATTTTAATAATTCAACTAAATCTTATAATTAATAGAAACACATAATGAATAAATACTTTTTCATAAGCTATTTTAACACACTATTTCATGAAAATAAATTCAGCCATTATTAAACAAAATAATAAACAAATAAAGAGAGAAATTTAAAATATAATTTCTAATCGCAAGTTTGACCCATGAACAATAAGAACATATAGTAAGAGAAATCATATAAGAAAATACTTGTACCTGGTGATTTTAAAACAATAATTAAAATATTTATAGTTCTTATTTAAATGTCAATGTTGAATTAACCAAATTCTATAATTAAAGAGAATATTTTATATTATTAAATAAATAATAAAACAAAAATGAAAAAAAAAAGAATGTTATTATAGAACCGCAATTCAAATTTATAATGCTCATGGCATATTCATGTTACTTACCAACAGGACGAAAAATTAAATATTCCAAGTGAAGATACTTCCAATATTTAATACTGATGTAACGATTTTTCCAACACAGAACACACACATTTGTTTTTTTGCACATTTACTATCAAAGTATCAATGCATATTTTCATAGTTTTAGAATTAAACGTTGGCAACATACCACTTTGAGAATAACGAAAAATCCTTTTTTCACTAGTTAACACAACAGTTGGTTGAGCGACGGAATAAACATAAGTGGGCAGAACTGATAAACCGCTTTCCTTTTAGGCTTAAAGCGAAAGAAAATATGAATTTTTATGCTTATTTCAGCTTGACAGCTCTAGAATACGTCGCAAAATATCCATTTACTATCCCTAAAATCACATAATTCAAGCATTTATTCAGAAATATTCATAAATAGTTCAAAAATCATCTCAAACGGTCACATTTTGACAGTGCAGACGACTTCGATACCCATTAGGAAGTCCCGTATGTTTGGTAAAGATCACTGACGTCACTAGTATCCCTGTCACGTGCTAAAGTGGGACAGCTGACTTGAGTTTTAGAAGTTGTTAGCCGGTATTAGGCGGGAATTTCTAAAACTTTTCACGGATGTTTTTAAGCATCCGGTTAATTTGAATAGCATTTTTGGTTTTGATCCCACTTTCGAGTATAACTTTAGAACTTAAATTATACGTTAAAAAAGAAGAACTGCAGGTCCTTCCTTATCTTGCTTTAAAACTGTTTCTAAATAAATAATAATTTAGTTAATTTATAGTAGCACTTTCAGTTGTACGACCGTCATTACGGTAAGACATTAAAAAGAAAGCAAAATGATATGTATTTTATTAAAAGCTTTGGAATACAAGGCAACTATTTTGCCTTCTCTTGGTGTTTGAAATGTCATGTAAATAAAGAACTACACCCATTTAATTAAGGAAAGAGAAGAATAATAAGAATTTACAACATGAAAAATTAATTTAGTATATGTAACTTAATATATAACTATATATGTGGGCCAGTGGCGCAACGGATAACGCGCCTGACTACGGATCAGGAGATTCCAGGTTTGAATCCTGCCTGGCTCGATACGATTTGTTTTTCTCTTTTGAGAGCACTTGCTTCTGTATGTTCAGAGATGTTTTTATTTTTGATATCTTTTCGCGTGAAATATTAAATAGCTCAATTTTGATTTTTTCTCTTTAAAAATTTAATGTTATTTATTAAGTAAAAAGTTATCTAGAACACATTTTAAATCGTTAGTTATGTTGAGGGTAACTAAATATTTAATAATAGCTACATAAATAGGAGGATAATGACCCCTCGATATACACAGATCTCTTTTTAACTTTAATTAAAATCGAAATAAAAACGAGATTTATCAATCATCAAATTTCGAAAAAGGATCATTATTACTTTTTACAACCAGTTATAATTCCAACTATAATTTTTAATACATACTAAAAATTTTCGGAACCTCAAATTTATATTTTTCCCCCTTAATTGCTCACAAAAATAATGCTATTAAAATTAAATTATTTTACCAGTGAAAATTTAAAATTTAACATATACATGATATCTAAATTCGTCCGTTAAATCAATTGACATCTGTAGAGCATTAAATTTAATTACATAAAATCCGATCTATTAAATAAATACATTGTATAAAAGTGTTTTTCGCTTTGTTCAGTAACTCACTCATTGTTTTTCATTTATTAAAATAATTTTTATAATCCCTCACAAATAATGCTAACACAAATAATATTTTTTTATGTATGAGGTGAGATATGAGCGCAGTAAACAGAATTGGTGTTAGTTATTAGTCTCAATTCTCGATAAAATTTTGCTGACGATTAAACACAATTTATAAGGGTGATGCGTGATGGTGGCGCCATCTCTTAATTAAATATATAACTAAGATAAATTCCTACGGTTGGAATTCGGTTTCAACGCTTTGCAAACAGTTATTATCAGCTTTTTATATTAATGCAATGAAAGAACGCCAGATGTAATATATATAAAGAATGTAAATATATAAAGGTCTAAAAAACGTCACACTTGGGACTTTGGCAATGCTGGATTGAAAGACATATGTCGGATTATAAAAATTAATTAAAGTTTTTACGTTTAGCGTCAACACTTGCTGTTGCTCTAAACATACGATCTTTTAATTTATTTTTCAAGCCCTATCGGACATAATGAATTCTCAGACTGTTACTATCTAACATTAAGATCATTAATTAACTTCCAAATTTAATTTATCTATTGTAATTAACAAACAATTGAGTTGATTGTTAAAAATTCATTAAATTTAACTGACTTTTAACAGTATTTAAATTTTTATTTTCTTAATTAAAATCTATTTAATTGGTATGAAATAAAATACATGTAATTTATAATGCATAGACATGATAATGTTTATGAATTTTTGTAATTTTTTTATGGTTAATAAAAGATGTTTTAATCTCATATATTACGTAGTTGATGCAGAACCTCCTATTATGCCATACTGGTATGTTTCTCTTATATCTTGATTTTTATGTGATTAATCTGCATCGGGAAAGGGGGGGAGAATTTCTCCCCTTTTTATGAAAAGGTACTCGGTAAAGTTTCGTATAAAATCTAATCTAATTTAAATTTTATTTTTATGTATTTATTTATGCTTACTGAATTCTGTAAGGTCAAGATATTTTCTACTAACTAATTTCACTAATGAATTAAGTCTCTCTGTTAATAAATCTGTCTGTTTGTTTCCTACACTAAATAATGGTACTAACTTGATCTACTTCCTCATCGCTCCTCATCTCTGTTACCACCGGCGGATTTAACATAATTTGAGTTACGATGATGTCACTTAACTGTCGTGTAATTAGGTTAAATCTGTCACCTTCAAATCATTCTATAATTTCAGCTTCTGCATGTCTTTTCGGAGGAATATGTTGAAATGAATTCAGCTGTTCAGAACGTTATGAACGTATGAAACTATCAATATCTTATCTCCTTCAACAGAATTGTGTTTCCTAACTTTCTCGAGTAATTTTTTTTAAGTTTTCGGACAGTTTTATACATTTTATATATGTACAAAGAAAAGCAACAGCAAAAATTGCATCTTTTACCATATCTATGCTTCAAGGTTTTCTTAGGCTTCATTCAGGCGAAGGCTTTTCGGCCATAAGAACAAGTCGAGCTTCGTTGCTGGGAAACCAGACCTTGCTACATCACAAAATCTGGTTTAAAAATTTTGCCTAAAAGTTTTAACTTTTCGACTTTCTATCAAGTTGGTATAAGAACTGACCAATCCTAGCAGAGTAAACACAAATTGACACTCTGTCGACGGTTTCGCTGAGTTAATTTTAAATTTACGCATGAAAACTTTACCCTCTCTGATTGGCTGCGGCTTAAACCTTGTTGCACAGATGTCAACGACTTAATAATTTTTACACCTTTATACTATGACTTTTAACGACTTAATGACTTTTAAGCCACAAAGCCGTCGTCTAAATTGAGGCCTCTTGGGGTTTTGAAATGTTAGTGCCCTCACACAGCGGATGGATTCAACAGTCTTGCAAGAAAAGGTTCCTAGACAGCAAATAGGGGTTAAAATTGAATTTTAATATTTATTTAGGCAGTTTGCCGCTACTTAGTAATTTACTTTATTGCTTATTTAAGCAGCGATGTCATTTCTTAACACTTTTTAAACATGTCACAGCTTTCGCCTACACCAGTTGCCTCAATAATAGTAATAAATTTCCCAAAATTACTCGTGAAACCTCAAGAAGTACTCATAATGCCCGTATGTTAAGACGGCAGTGCTATGTCAAAGTGTTTCTTCATCTGAAGTAAAAACGGCAAATGCGTCCCACTATGAAATACTGAGCTAAATAGATGTATGCATTCTTTGTTAATAAATGGTAAGATAATTACTTTTAATAATTGATTTGTAGCTGTTAAATCCTATTTTCAAGCTACGTTAACACGAAGGCTATGAGCTTAAAGCAATATAAAGCTTCGTGTAGAGTTTTTGTAGGGACAAAAGGAAATTTCGTAGAGCAAATTTTCATATATTATCACAACTGGAATAACTGATCTAATGATTGGGAAACCCAGTATTATACAAAATGTTGTACTTTAAACAATAATGGAGAGATTTATCATTTCAATAAAAATCAAACTTTTCCCTCGCCGTAAAATTAAAAAATTTCCTCCATTAAAAAAAAAAAAAAAAAAAAAAAAAAAAAAAAAAAAAAAAAGTAATCTTAAGTTAGATCATTTCCTGCGAGATGCAATCGGATGTACAATTTCGTGTCTAACCCACACGGATTTTTTATCGGCTTTAAGGCTTGTTTACAGATCTCAAACGCGCAATTCTCTAGCCATCAGAACAAGCGACATAACCAATACATTTCTGCTAATCATTAAGGAATGTCCCTTTAATATAGATTCATTTTCTGAGCTTCCGAAATCAAATACAAGAAAAATGTGTTTTTTCATTTCCTCCTTTCGCCATAAATACCTAATTGCGAAACGTATCTTCTACGACATTATTTTCACGTGTGAATATTTAAAGCATGTTTGGAAGTAAATGCTTATTTCACACCAAACATATGCCACTTCACTTTGTTAAAGAGGAATCAAATAGCACCGCGCTGTGATACATACGTTGTAACGAATTTATCAGAAAGACGTTGTTTCTCTAACAGTATATATAGTCTGCCGCCATGAGAATGCCTACCAGGAGCAGCTGTTGAAAGAAACTTAAATTTCATCAAAGCAAGACTACTAAAATCCTATCAACTTTAAAGTCACTTTACGCAGACGGATTATTGTTTAACCCTTTGCGGCACAGTATGTCCGGTCTGGACACACCTAAAAATTTCCTTCTGTACGCTCAAAAAAATTGAATGAAAAAGGATTTATAGGTTACTCTGAACCTACTTTATTTATAGTAGATGGCAGACTCCATATATTTTAGCCATGTTTAGTTTTTTTAAGACCGTCATTTTTCAAAGAAATCTTCCAGATTTTTTTAGGGTATAAAGGAATTGTTTGAAAAGAAATTCCTATGTTATTTTTTTGGCTGTATGCTAATCTCCTTATTGTATATTAGTTTTAAATTTTTACCTTGAAATCTTGCCTAAAATCAAAAGGCGAACCCTAGGTGTGCCCAGACCGGGCTCACCGATAATCTATGACAACTGAGAGTATGTACTCTTTGTTTCTCCGCATCTCATCGGTCAGTTCATTCACAACAATGCTCGTTTCAGCACTTTTTTCGAAGCTCTATTCAACCAGTGTGCCACTTTGGGCACACCCACAGAATTAAAAGATAAGTGCTATTTTCACAAAATTTTACTTGTGTACTCCTCTAGGCCTAATTAGACTGCCTACTTTTTTTTTTTTTTTTTTTTTTTTTTTTTTTTTTTTTTTTTTTTAATTGAAACTCCAACTTTAAAAGGTAGCGTGCCGGAAAGGGTTAAGGGATGTCCTAAGCAGTTTTGTATCTAAGTTCATACACCTTTTATGCTAATTTGCTAATTTTTTAGGTAGCATTCATCACCCTTTGTAATGAAAGATTCCAGCCAGATATCGATGCAATGGTAAAACAGTACAGACTTCTTCATGTCAATAGTTAATGAAGAAATTAAACTTTTTCTGAAGCTTACATCACAGTTCAGGTGGTGAACAACAGTGGTGTTACGTACCCTGAACGTCTCTGTAATCTCACGCGTATTTACTCAGATTGAAGCATGGGAGAACCCAAATTATTTACCTCAAGGTAAATGGTAATGTGTTGGTAATAATGGTAATGTGTTGTCCCCGCATGCAAGGCTTAATCTCTAAAATTAGAAGAGCCGGAGCCTTA